TAACGGTACTCAAGTAATCGTGTTTACACACAGACACACACACACAGACAGACAGACACACACACACAGACAGACAGACACAGACATACGGAAAAGATTGCAAAATTATGTTTTTCCATATCTGTGAGGTGTAAAACGTCGAGATTTGTAAAAATCTCGATTTTTTTTTGCACGATTACAATACTTTCTCTATACTTCGTATGAACGAGAAAGTAAAAAAATTAACCGCGAATGTTTAGTGAATAGTATGCAATTTTACTCATGGTATTAAAACCGTTATCAAGAGTAGTTCATATTGAAAGTCTACTAGAAATCTTATTTTAGTGCTTATTAATTTCCATACTAATTTCGGCTTTTTAATTCTATGGGGGTCGCGTGTCACTTATTTTTTATAAAAGGGGGTCGCCACTAGAAAAAGTTTGGGAACCACTGTTCTATACAGAATTTAAAAAAAAAAAACAACATTGGTGACGTCACTCGCCTCTGTCGTAACTAGAAAGGATTTCTAAACATTGTCTGTGATTTTCTCCCCTCGGTCGGTCCACCATTGTCCAGTTCGGTCCACAGAACATCTGTTTGCGAGATGGTCGTTGAATTGGTCAGACCACACGGGTCAATTGAATGAGGTCGTCTCCTAGTGCTCACGTGGACAGATGTCACATTGACGCTACAAGTTTTTTTTTACCAACGCCATTTTGTTTGTCTGTACATAAAAAAAGTACATGAAAGTCACCTGATCTCCTTAAAAGAAGTGTTATCAAAACTAAAAAGGATGCTTGAATACCTTTCTTAGACACAAACATATCTTTCCTTCCCATCTGAACACTACACATGTACCAGACATGGGACACATCCTTTATTCAGATATTAACATTAGTGTTCTCTTTGTTAAACATTGGTGTTCTCTTTGTTAAACATTGGTGTTCTCTTTGTTAAACATTGGTGTTCTCTTTGTTAAACATTGGTGTTCACTTTGTTAAAAATTGGTGTTCTCTTTGTTAAACATTGGTGTTCTCTTTGTTAAACATTAGTGTTCTCTTTGTTAAACATTGGTGTTCTCTTTGTTAAACATTGGTGTTCTCTTTGTTAAACATCGGTGTTCTCTTTGTTAAACATTGGTGTTCTCTTTGTTAAACATTAGTGTTCTCTTTGTTAAACATTGGTGTTCTCTTTGTTAAACATTGGTGTTCTCTTTGTTAAACATTGGTGTTCTCTTTGTTAAACATTGGTGTTCTCTTTGTTAAACATTGGTGTTCTCTTTGTTAAAAAATTGTGTTAAACAAATACATTAAACACTTGACGCTGCACACAAGAAATTGGTGGTATCGATTTATTAATGTTGTAGGTGGTAGTATCGATATAATGAGGTTAATGCTGGTGGTGTCAATATCGTAACATTACAGGTTGTAGTATCGATATTTGATCGAGCTGCCAGATGTTTGTATTTATTTCAAGTCATGTTCACTGATGCCATAGTTTTCTTTCTACATTTCCTTCACACTTAACTTTCTACATTTCCTTCACACTTAACTTTCTACATTTCCTTCACACTTAACTTTCTACATTTCCTTCACACTTAACTTTCTACATTTCCTTCACACTTAACTTTCTACATTTCCTTCACACTTAACTTTAAAAGAATTATTAGTTTTTTTGGATGACAGCTTTGATCAAATTCAACCTGAAAATATCAAGTTTTGATACCCTGGTAACAGCATCACAATATCAAGTTTTGATACCCTTGTAACAGCATCACAAGTACTTGTTGTCTATTGCAATCGAAACTTTTCTTATATCAAGAGAAGAAATCATCCTACAGCCCCCCACCCCCTTTTCTTTCAGACGACTCCCTCCCCACCCTCCCCCGTTATAGAAATAAAAATAGACACCGTGTACCTAGTAACGATTCACTCAAAGGGTCAGAACCGTGAAAATATTAGTCAATTCAATGCATCTTGAATTCTCTAAACTTTTAATGCACAATTACAGTTTGAAACTTTAGCAGCTTGTAGAATTTTGTCCCAGTTCTTATATGTCAAACTGGTCATCACTGACCAAAGACCCATGCCCTTTTATGTCAATTACTGGTCATTGCATCTTTTTATGACAGTACTTCAACAACTTCCCAAAGCATCAGTTTGGGTATTAGATAAAAGATGGAGTAATGCATTAAAAACACACAGAAAGACACACACTCCTTAATTTTTGTAGTAAATCGATTACAATTTAAAATGTCATATCAGCGACTATGCAAAATAAAAAAATATAAATTTTAAAATCAATGAACATGTATATTTCAAAATCAATAAATATGTAAATTTTAAAATCAATGAACAATTTTATTCAAGGAAAACAAATACAAAGTGGTGCTGCTGACAAAGTGGTGCTGCTAACGCCAAATTTTGAAATTGTTTTAACATGGACTCAATGAGTGGATGTTTTCCGAGATTTTCATTGCACTCAAATTAAATTTCAATTTTAATGGTAGCAGAGGTGATCCTTTTCGACATGACAAAGGGCAGCAAACAAAAAGAATCCCACAAAAACAAACTATACTATTAGAGCTATATGGCTATATATATATATATATATATATATATATATATATATATATATATATATATATATATATATATATATATATATATCAAAGTGGTTGGTTAAAATTTGGCAAGCTCCTGCCTTGGGCTTACAGAACACGGGGGACGCAAAGTCCACGATGAGGGGTCAAAACTGACCTCGACTGACCGGCGCCTTATATATATGAGCCATATATCGAAAAGTATTTTTGCCGTACGACTCCATTTGATATTTTGTGAGGTTGTAGAAAAACGCCTAGGGATGTTAGAAAAATTCGCCATATACGGGAAAAATCTTTAAAGTGGTCAAAACTGACCAGTCGTATTTCCCTATATAATCATTGTAATTTATTGAAAAAAACAGGGTAATTTCGACACAGTTTTTAGGGTACTTACCATCTGTAAATCTGGCTACTTTTTTGCATGCACCTCTATAAATGACTAGGCCCTTTGGAAAAACTGTTGTTCAGACCCTATACCATCGACTAGGGCTAAAAAAAAATGACCAATAGTGAAAATATCCTTATACGATCTACATGTAAAATAAATGCCGAACGATTCCCTATATATTTTATGGCCGTTAGATTTGTCCAAATGCCGTATTTTTTATATAACATCGATATACTACTAAAACTCAAGTTTGTTTACAGTAGTATATTAGGTCCCTTTTGGGTATTATGGTGGTGGCGGTGGGTGAAGGGTGAGCAGGATGCGGATGCGGATGCGGATGCGGATGCGCAAAGGCTATATAGTATAATACTCCCCCCCCCACCTGGCGCAGGGTGAAGGTGGATGCGGATCCGCAAAGGATATATAGGAAAATACTCACCCACCTGGAGTAGGAGTAGCTCAGTAGGTCACCACAGGTGACCTTGTGACGTAATCACCATCGGTGGCCTTGTTACGTAATCAGTGATCTAGTGACGTAATTTTAATGAGTTTTAATTTATTATTTGCTTATTTTTAATTAATTTGATTTTTTAAATTTTTAAATAATTTTTATTAACGAGTTACGTAATTTGATTATTTGTTTAATTTTAATTATTTAAATTTTGTAATTTTGTAATTTTAAATTTTAAATTTATTTTGTTTTTTAATTAGTTTGAATTTAATTTAATTACTTTGTTTATATTGTGTAATTTTTATTGACTAGTTACGTAATTTTAATTTTTTAAATTTTTAAATTTTTAAAAAAATTTAATTTTGTAATTTTAAATTTTAAATTTATTTACTTTGTTTATATTTTGTTTGTTAATTTTTAATTATTATTATTATTATTTAATTTTTAAAATTTTAATTTTTAATTTTAATGAGTTTGAATTTTTTATTTATTTTATTTTTAATTAATTTTTATTAACTAGTTACGTAATTTGAGTTTATGGCCAAAAACAACAAAAAACAAACAAACAAATAATCAAATTACGTAACTAGTTAATAAAAATTAATTAAAAATAAAATAAATAAAAAATTCAAACTCATTAAAATTAAAAATTAAAATTTTAAAAATTAAAAAATAATAATAATAATTAAAAATTAACAAACGAAATATAAACAAAGTAAATAAATTTAAAATTTAAAATTACAAAATTAAATTTTTTTAAAAATTTAAAAATTTAAAAAATTAAAATTACGTAACTAGTCAATAAAAATTACACAATATAAACAAAGTAATTAAATTAAATTCAAACTAATTAAAAAACAAAATAAATTTAAAATTTAAAATTACAAAATTTAAAAATTTAAATAATTAAAATTAAACAAATAATCAAATTACGTAACTCGTTAATAAAAATTATTTAAAAATTTAAAAAATCAAATTAATTAAAAATAAACAAATAATAAATTAAAACTCATTAAAATTACGTCACTAGGTCACTGATTACGCAACAAGGTCACCGATGGTGATTACGTCACAAGGTCACCTGTGGTGACCTACTGACCTACTCCTACTCCAGGTGGGTGAGTATTTTACTATATAATATGTCTAACCCTCCACATCCGCATCCCCCACCCTCACCCACCTTCACCCAGGTGGGGGAGTATTTTACTATATAACATGTCTAACCCTCACCCTTCACCCTCACCCTTCACCCTCACCCTTCACCCTCACCCACCTCACCCAGGTGGGTGACTATTTTCCTATATATCCTTTGCGGATCCGCATCCGCATCCACCTTCACCCTGCGCCAGGTGGGGGAGTATTTTACTATATAGCCTTTGCGCATCCGCATCCGCATCCTGCTCACCCTTCACCCACCACCACCACCATAATACCCAAAAGGGAACTAATATACTACTGTTTACATGTTTGAAATTTTTGTTTGTTTGTTTTTTTTTTTTTTTTTTTTTTTTTTTTATTTATTTGTCCGTTTGGTTGTATTTAAAGCTAATTTTCTGTCGGCTATAGCTTTAACGATACGTGCGTTTGCTATTTTTATTACGTTCCAACACTAATATCAATTTTCAATAGTCCTTTTCATCTGTAACCCTAACCCATCTGATCATGCTAGTTATCAACAAAGTAACCTCGTCCACAAAATGCCTTTTTTTTAAATAGAAAAATCATCCATCAACTTCTTCTTTCATTGAATTCAGTTTAATACCTATCTTTTTAAAAGTAGTTATGTTCATGTCAAAGGCGGTTTAAGATTTATGTTTTTGATAGATCTGAATTTCTGACATTTGCTTATTTGTGTAAAAAATGTTGCTTTTTTCTTTATGAAGAAAATGGTGAAACGACAAATGATCTCGGGACAAATAATCTCAGACAAAATATCTCAGACAAAATATCTCAAACAAAATATCCCAGACACAATATCCCAGACAAAATATCCCAGACAAAATATCCCTAACAAAATATCCCAGACAAAATATCCCTAACAAAATATTTTACGACCAATTGATATGAAGCACAAAAAATTTCATGGAAGAAAGATATCGTGACAAAATTATATTAGGCCCTATGATATCATGGATCATGTTTCGTTGAGATATTTTGTCTGGAATATTTTGTCTGAGATCATTTGTCATGGAACCGAACTAAACAGCCTATAAGTTGTGTACTGTCTTTTCCTGCCATAATGGTTTGTGGGGTCTGTATTTCTGGTACTCTTGTAAAGTGATTCTACCCGCCCTCAGGAGGAGGTAATCGAGGCCAGCAGTGACTGACATCAACAGGAGTTTACAATCCTCTTGTGTGACGTTAAATGAATCATGCCATCTAGACTCAGCGGCGTAAAACGAGGCAGTAGTCAAACAGGCTTGCTTTACACCCTTCAACAGAAACTGAAATTGTTTTAGTTCTGAGAAGAAGTCTGCCGACTGAGCGTCAAGTTTGTTTTCTAGAACCTTCAAAAAGTGGCCATAGAGCGCGTAGTCCGGGTGGTTCAACTTGCGATGGTTGTCATGGTCGCTCGGCGTAAAGCTTCGTTTAGCTTTCTTCGTGTTGGCGTTTTTTGAAATATACAAAATATCTTTGACGCTCCAACACAACTCACGCTTGAGAAGAAGAAGAGACTCATCCAAGCGTTCGACTATCATGACCAGTAGAAATTCTCGATCTATGATGTTGATGGAAGAGTTGAGGACCAGAGGGCTGTCGTAGGCGGCGCGCGTGAGACCCAGATCTTCCGATTGCTTGTTCCTTATGTATGAAAACAGCGTGGATTCACCCTCGAACGCATGTGGATCAGAAAGGTAAAGAGATATCGGATTGGAAGCGTTGCGTACACTCGGCACCATAGAAGAGAAGTAACTAGCCATGTTGTAGTATTCAAAGGCGGAGACAAACTGCTGAAAAGGTTCCCGCAAGATGGTGAGGTACACCGTATTTTCTGGCATCAGTTGACGGAAAGCCGTTCTGTTGTAGATGGCGTGGTTCAACAAGATGTTGTATTGTTTCCCGGGGGGTAGGGGGACCACGCTGTCCCTGGTAAGTATCTCCCCGGGCCTGGTGATGTAGTTGTAGAATTTGTCGTGGAATGGTCGGTTGGGAAGTGCGAAATTGAGTCCGTGTACTATACCGAAACGTTGCAGAAGTGTGGCCACAGTTGAACTGCCGGCCTTGTGGACTTTGACAAACGCGAGGTTCGTGGCGGGGTCACAGAATGGTGGCAGACGACCGGGGTCATCTCGCCTGATGCCATGTTGTGCTAGGTCACGTGATTTTGTAGGTAAGATGGCGTTGATGTGGTCCAAGGGAAGCGTGAATATAAGCCAGAGAGTCAGGCACATCGTGAAAACACAAAGGCTGGGAACAGAGATGTTGATGACAGAGATGTTGATGACAGAGATGTTGATGACAGAGATGTTGATGACAGAGATGTTGATGACAGAGATGTTGATGACAGAGATGTTGATGACACAGATGTTGATGACACAGATGTTGATGACAGAGATGTTGATGACAGAGATGTTGATGACACAGATGTTGATGACACAGATGTTGATGACAGAGATGTTGATGACAGAGATGTTGATGACAGAGATGTTGATGACACAGATGTTGATGACAGAGATGTTGATGACAGAGATGTTGATGAGAGAGATGTTGATGACAGAGATGTTGATGACAGAGATGTTGATGACAGAGATGTTGATGACAGAGATGTTGACGTCAGAGATGTTGATGACACAGATGTTGATGACAGAGATGTTGATGACAGAGATGTTGATGACAGAGATGTTGATGACACAGATGTTGATGACAGAGATGTTGATGACAGAGATGTTGATGACAGAGATGTTGATGACAGAGATGTTGATGACAGAGATGTTGATGACAGAGATGTTGATGACAGAGATGTTGACGTCAGAGATGTTGATGACAGAGATGTTGATGACAGAGATGTTGATGACAGAGATGTTGATGACAGAGATGTTGATGACAGAGATGTTGATGACAGAGATGTTGATGACACAGATGTTGATGACAGAGATGTTGATGACAGAGATGTTGACGTCAGAGATGTTGATGACACAGATGTTGATGACACAGATGTTGATGACAGAGATGTTGATGACAGAGATGTTGATGACACAGATGTTGATGACAGAGATGTTGATGACAGAGATGTTGATGACAGAGATGTTGATGACAGAGATGTTGATGACACAGATGTTGATGACAGAGATGTTGATGACACAGATGTTGATGACAGAGATGTTGATGACAGAGATGTTGAAAACAAAGATTCGGTTGTTCCGATTTCTGTGATGATGTGTGAAGAAGAGGGTAGGGGTGTGTACGTTTAACATCTGTTTTCGTTTTGAATAATGTTAAAAACATTTTGCGTTCTGAAAAGTCTGCGAAATATCAAGCGAAAAGCTGACTGCGTTTAGTACATATATAAAAAAGAAATTGATGTCTTAGAAAACAAAAACAAACATCAATTATGGTTGGGGTGGGGGGTGGTTAATGGCATTAGACGTTATTTTAAATATAGTCTGGCTTTTTTGTGACGATAAACTATGTTGGCGACGCTTAACGTCGCTGCAAGTTTAAAACTAAAGAGTAAAGATCTACAAGCACGGCATATTCACACACACACTAAAGAGTAAAGATCTACAAGCACGGCATATTCACACACACTAAAGAGTAAAGATCTACAAGCACGGCATATTCACACACACACTAAAGAGTAAAGATCTACAAGCACGGCATATTCACACACACACTAAAGAGTAAAGATCTACAAGCACGGCATATTCACACACACACTAAAGAGTAAAGATCTACAAGCACGGCATATTCACACACACACTAAAGAGTAAAGATCTACAAGCACGGCATATTCACACACACACTAAAGAGTAAAGATCTACAAGCACGGCATATTCACACACACACACACACTAAAGAGTAAAGATCTACAAGCACGGCATATTCACACACACTAAAGAGTAAAGATCTACAAGCACGGCATATTCACACACACACTAAAGAGTAAAGATCTACAAGCACGGCATATTCACACACACTAAAGAGTAAAGATCTACAAGCACGGCATATTCACACACACACTAAAGAGTAAAGATCTACAAGCACGGCATATTCACACACACACACTAAAGAGTAAAGATCTACAAGCACGGCATATTCACACACACACACTAAAGAGTAAAGATCTACAAGCACAGCTTATTCACACACACACTAAAGAGTAAAGATCTACAAGCACGGCATATTCACACACACACACTAAAGAGTAAAGATCTACAAGCACGGCATATTCACACACACACACTAAAGAGTAAAGATCTACAAGCACGGCATATTCACACACACACTAAAGAGTAAAGATCTACAAGCACGGCTTATTCACACACACTAAAGAGTAAAGATCTACAAGCACGGCATATTCACACACACACACTAAAGAGTAAAGATCTACAAGCACGGCATATTCACACACACACACTAAAGAGTAAAGATCTACAAGCACGGCATATTCACACACACACTAAAGAGTAAAGATCTACAAGCACGGCTTATTCACACACACACTAAAGAGTAAAGATCTACAAGCACGGCATATTCACACACACACACTAAAGAGTAAAGATCTACAAGCACGGCATATTCACACACACACTAAAGAGTAAAGATCTACAAGCACGGCATATTCACACACACACACTAAAGAGTAAAGATCTACAAGCACGGCTTATTCACACACACACTAAAGAGTAAAGATCTACAAGCACGGCATATTCACACACACTAAAGAGTAAAGATCTACAAGCACGGCTTATTCACACACACTAAAGAGTAAAGATCTACAAGCACGGCATATTCACACACACTAAAGAGTAAAGATCTACAAGCACGGCATATTCACACACACTAAAGAGTAAAGATCTACAAGCACGGCATATTCAGACACACACTAAAGAGTAAAGATCTACAAGCACGGCTTATTCACACACACACTAAAGAGTAAAGATCTACAAGCACGGCATATTCACACACACTAAAGAGTAAAGATCTACAAGCACGGCTTATTCACACACACTAAAGAGTAAAGATCTACAAGCACGGCATATTCACACACACACTAAAGAGTAAAGATCTACAAGCACGGCATATTCACACACACACACTAAAGAGTAAAGATCTACAAGCACGGCATATTCACACACACACTAAAGAGTTAAGATCTACAAGCACGGCATATTCACACACACTAAAGAGTAAAGATCTACAAGCACGGCATATTCACACACACTAAAGAGTAAAGATCTACAAGCACGGCATATTCACACACACTAAAGAGTAAAGATCTACAAGCACGGCATATTCACACACACTAAAGAGTAAAGATCTACAAGCACGGCATATTCACACACACTAAAGAGTAAAGATCTACAAGCACGGCATATTCACATACACTAAAGAGTAAAGATCTACAAGCACGGCATATTCACACACACTAAAGAGTAAAGATCTACAAGCAAGGCATATTCACACACACACTAAAGAGTAAAGATCTACAAGCACGGCATATTCACACAAACTAAAGAGTAAAGATCTACAAGCACGGCATATTCACACACACACACTAAAGAGTAAAGATCTACAAGCACGGCATATTCACACACACACTAAAGAGTAAAGATCTACAAGCACGGCATATTCACACACACACACTAAAGAGTAAAGATCTACAAGCACGGCATATTCACACACACTAAAGAGTAAAGATCTACAAGCACGGCATATTCACACACACACTAAAGAGTAAAGATCTACAAGCACGGCATATTCACACACACACTAAAGAGTAAAGATCTACAAGCACGGCATATTCACACACACTAAAGAGTAAAGATCTACAAGCACGGCATATTCACACACACTAAAGAGTAAAGATCTACAAGCACGGCATATTCACACACACACTAAAGAGTAAAGATCTACAAGCACGGCTTATTCACACACACACTAAAGAGTAAAGATCTACAAGCACGGCATATTCACACACACACTAAAGAGTAAAGATCTACAAGCACGGCATATTCAGACACACACACTAAAGAGTAAAGATCTACAAGCACGGCTTATTCACACACACACTAAAGAGTAAAGATCTACAAGCACGGCATATTCACACACACTAAAGAGTAAAGATCTACAAGCACGGCATATTCACACACACACTAAAGAGTAAAGATCTACAAGCACGGCTTATTCACACACACACTAAAGAGTAAAGATCTACAAGCACGGCATATTCACACACACACTAAAGAGTAAAGATCTACAAGCACGGCATATTCACACACACTAAAGAGTAAAGATCTACAAGCACGGCTTATTCACACACACACTAAAGAGTAAAGATCTACAAGCACGGCATATTCACACACACACTAAAGAGTAAAGATCTACAAGCACGGCAAATTCACACACACTAAAGAGTAAAGATCTACAAGCACGGCATATTCACACACACACACTAAAGAGTAAAGATCTACAAGCACGGCTTATTCACACACACTAAAGAGTAAAGATCTACAAGCACGGCATATTCACACACACACACTAAAGAGACTAGATCTACAAGCACGGCTTATTCACACACACACTAAAGAGTATAGATCTACAAGCACGGCATATTCACACACACACTAAAGAGTAAAGTTCTACAAGCACGGCATATTCACACACACACTAAAGAGTAAAGATCTACAAGCACGGCATATTCACACACACACTAAAGAGTAAAGATCTACAAGCACGGCATATTCACACACACTAAAGGGTAAAGATCTACAAGCACGGCTTATTCACACACACTAAAGAGTAAAGATCTACAAGCACGGCATATTCACACACACACTAAAGAGTAAAGATCTACAAGCACGGCTTATTCACACACACACTAAAGAGTAAAGATCTACAAGCACGGCATATTCACACACACACTAAAGAGTAAAGATCTACAAGCACGGCATATTCACACACACACTAAAGAGTAAAGATCTACAAGCACGGCATATTCACACACACACTAAAGAGTAAAGATCTGCAAGCACGGCTTATTCACACACACTAAAGAGTAAAGATCTACAAGCACGGCTTATTCACACACACTAAAGAGTAAAGATCTACAAGCACGGCATATTCACACACACTAAAGAGTAAAGATCTACAACCACGGCTTATTCACACACACTAAAGAGTAAAGATCTACAAGCACGGCATATTCACACACACACTAAAGAGTAAAGATCTACAAGCACGGCATATTCACACACACTAAAGAGTAAAGATCTACAAGCACGGCATATTCACACACACACTAAAGAGTAAAGATCTACAAGCACGGCATATTCACACACACACTAAAGAGTAAAGATCTACAAGCACGGCATATTCACACACACACACTAAAGTGTAAAGATCTACAAGCACGGCATATTCACACACACACACTAAAGAGTAAAGATCTACAAGCACGGCATATTCACACACACACTAAAAAGTAAAGATCTACAAGCACGGCATATTCACACACCCAATAAAGAGTAAAGATCTACAAGCACGGCATATTCACACACACACTAAAGAGTAAAGATCTACAAGCACGGCATATTCACACACACTAAAGAGTAAAGATCTACAAGCACGGCATATTCACACACACACTAAAGAGTAAAGATCTACAAGCACGGCATATTCACACACACTAAAGAGTAAAGATCTACAAGCACGGCATATTCACACACACACTAAAGAGTAAAGATCTACAAGCACGGCATATTCACACACACTAAAGAGTAAAGATCTACAAGCACGGCTTATTCACACACACACTAAAGAGTAAAGATCTACAAGCACGGCATATTCACACACACACTAAAGCGTAAAGATCTACAAGCACGGCATATTCACACACACACTAAAGAGTAAAGATCTACAAGCACGGCATATTCACACACACACTAAAGAGTAAAGATCTACAAGCACGGCATATTCACACACACACACTAAAGAGTAAAGATCTACAAGCACGGCATATTCACACACACTAAAGAGTAAAGATCTACAAGCACGGCATATTCACACACACACTAAAGAGTAAAGATCTACAAGCACGGCATATTCACACACACACTAAAGAGTAAAGATCTACAAGCACGGCATATTCACACACACACTAAAGAGTAAAGATCTACAAGCACGGCATATTCACACACACACTAAAGAGTAAAGATCTACAAGCACGGCATATTCACACACACTAAAGAGTAAAGATCTACAAGCACGGCATATTCACACACACACTAAAGAGTAAAGATCTACAAGCACGGCATATTCACACACACTAAAGAGTAAAGATCTACAAGCACGGCATATTCACACACACACTAAAGAGTAAAGATCTACAAGCACGGCATATTCACACACACACTAAAGAGTAAAGATCTACAAGCACGGCATATTCACACACACACTAAAGAGTAAAGATCTACAAGCACGGCATATTCACACACACTAAAGAGTAAAGATCTACAAGCACGGCATATTCACACACACACTAAAGAGTAAAGATCTACAAGCACGGCATATTCACACACACTAAAGAGTAAAGATCTACAAGCACGGCATATTCACACACACTAAAGAGTAAAGATCTACAAGCACGGCATATTCACACACACACTAAAGAGTAAAGATCTACAAGCACGGCATATTCACACACACACTAAAGAGTAAAGATCTACAAGCACGGCTTATTCACACACACACTAAAGAGTAAAGATCTACAAGCACGGCATATTCACACACACACTAAAGCGTAAAGATCTACAAGCACGGCATATTCACACACACACTAAAGAGTAAAGATCTACAAGCACGGCATATTCACACACACTAAAGAGTAAAGATCTACAAGCACGGCTTATTCACACACACAAAAATATACTAAAACAGAAATTAAAAAATTATTTATCAATATGATTTTCGCTTTTTTTTTGTATTCTATTTCTAGATATTAATTTCCAAAAAGTATAACGAAGCATAATTTTTTAAAATATTTACCAACAACATTTAATTTTCCGTATCATCCTCATGACATCGTAATTTATGTTGATTGACCTAATGTGCCTGTATTAAAAATTAGACAAGTTATAAAACATTATATACAACAGGCGCACGCACACAATCACACACACGTATATATATATATAGACAGATATATATATATATATATATATATATATATATATATATATATATATATATATATATATATATATATATATATATATATATATAAGATGATAAAATATCTTACCAACAAACATATCTTTAATTCCAGTAAATTTATTTAAGTTTGTTACTCTATAAAGCTGTTAAGTTACAACAAGTAATTTCCATACTAACATAAGATGGCCCTTCAAAATGGTAGACGACAACTGACGTTTCACATTCGAGTAGATTTGATAAGAATGTCCGCCCATCAGTCTACTCACCACTGAAGCTGACACACAAAGAGTATACAATATAGAGAGGTCGATATCACACATCATTAATTCTCGGATTATCTTAATCCGATACACGGTAGGATATTGGACTGGCTTCGTTCATGTGCTGTCTCATTGAACTGGTGTGATTCATGTACATACGACAAAGTAACTTTAACCTTAGCCATATGATCTATCGACCATGTCACAACAAGGTAACTTTAACCTTAGCCATATCATGATCTATTGACCATTTCACAACAAGGTAACTTTAGCCTTAGCCATATGATCTATTGACCATGTCACAACAAGGTAACTTTAACCTTAGCCATATCATGATCTATCGACCATGTCACAACAAGGTAACTTTAACCTTAGCCATATCATGATCTATCGACAACAAAGCTGTAGAGTTCATTTCAACTTTCTTACGGTCGTCTTATTTACATGATATCACTAAACTTTCTTACGGTCGTCTTATTTACATGATATCACTAAACTTTCTTAGGGTCGTCTTATTTACATGATATCACTAAACTTTCTTAGGGTCGTCTTATTTACATGATATCACTAAACTTTCTTAGGGTCGTCTTATTTACATATCACTAAACTTTCTTAGGGTCGTCTTATATACATGATATCACTAAACTTTTTTAGGGTCGTCTTATTTACATGATATCACTAAACTTTCTTAGGGTCGTCTTATTTACATGATATCACTAAACTTTCTTAGGGTCGTCTTATTTACATGCTATCACTAAAGTTTCTTAGGTTCCTCTTATTTACATGATATCACTAAACTTTCTTAGGGTCGTCTTATTTACATGATATCACTAAACTTTCTTAGGGTCGTGTTATTTACATGATATCACTAAACTTTTTTAGGGTCGTCTTATTTACATGATATCACTAAACTTTCTTAGGGTCGTCTTATTTACATGATATCACTAAACTTTCTTAGGGTCGTCTTATTTACATGATATCACTAAACTTTCTTAGGGTCGTGTTATTTACATGATATCACTAAACTTTCTTAGGGTCTTCATGATATCACTAGACTTTCTTAAGGTCGTGCCATCTACTAATATCAATAAACTTTCTTTGGATAGGTAAGTATTAGATTCTATACTTTAGTTTCTGACTACAGGTATCCGGAAGTGTTTCTTTGTTAATTTCCGCTTTGTCGAAAACCTTCAAAATTTTATAATTTTATAAAATACTTGCCTAGCCGTTATCTGTGGGTTTGGGAGGGAGGTCATCCATCAAAGATGTAACTTTGTTTATCTTTCCCATCCACCTCCCTACTGTCACACATCGTCACAAAAAGCCAGACCCCACATCGAAAAAGACGACACACCACAGGAACATGTTTTGTTTTTTAAAAACACCGACTTCGGTCACAGGAACAGACGAACGCTACTTCACCTGCCCCATGTCCTGCCATGTCTTTTAAGAACAAAGATATCTTTCTAAAAGATTTTCTGATCTCGTTCCCCATATGCATAACACATAAATTATTAAAGCCAACTTCAAAATAATAACAATGAATTAGAACCATTCGCGCGCTTTGTGATATCCAAATGCGCAGTTTCTATGAGGAAAAATTTAAAAAAAAAACTGACGCTGAAAGTATGTGTTTCGAACCCATTAGATGGTTACTATTACATTGTCATCTAGGTCAGCTAGATTGATAGGTTAGAAAGAAAATATTGTGTATTATTTTTCTTTACTCTCCGATGTCACTCTTCGCCATCAAGTGAAATTACGACAAATATTTTCAATTAAATAAATCATGATTTAAACAATTCCATTTCAAAGAAAGAAAAGATTTATATAAAAATTTTAAGGCCGGGTGTAGTTTAGTGAAGAAACTCAATAATCCATAGCACCAGATCGGCCTAGAATACTAAATCTATCTATCTATCTACATACAATTAAAACTCAAGTTTGTTTACATGATTGAATATTTATTTATTGGTTTGTCTGATTGGCTACTGGAGAAAAACTGCACAATGTGTAGAGCTGTAAAATAGTATGTAGGTAGAGAACAATTTTTGTTTTCAGACTGACTGTTAATCACAATTTTATTTAAAGAAGTTAATTAATTGATTGATTTATTAATTGGTAGATTAACCACATAAATTTTAAAAGTTTAGAAAAACGACTTTACTTTGAGTGAATAGTGACGTCACATGATTTGTTTACTTTTTAGTACAATAAATGGCGGATCCAATACAAGATTTCGTTGCTTATTCAGATCTTTTACGCGTTATAAAGCTAATTTTCTGTAGGCTATAACTTTAACAATACGCCCGTTTGCTGTTTTTATTACGGTCTAACACTTATATAGGCCCTACATTTTCAACTGTCTTTTTCATTTAGTTTTACAATAAATTTCTCTAGCTCTACAATCTGGTCCAAGCAAGTTATTTATAGATCTCAATATCAGGTGGCCAAGAAAGTTGTTTATAGATCTATAATCTATTTTAATTATTTTAAAATCAGAATAATTTATTGAGTTTTTTTATTTAATTTTTTTTAGTCCTTAAATATTTGATATAAATATTTCCTTTTTAGCTTCACGGATCATCTAATTCAAGAATAATTCAAGTGATTTATCTATCTAGGTTCTAGATCTAAATCTAGAACTAGATTCTAGAGTTACATTATAGACTTAACCAAACCAATCGTAGAATTCACATAATTCTATCTAGATCTAGATAATAATGAGTTTCTATACTAAACTATTTCATACCTTCATTATTTTATATAAATCTTTGTTTGTTGAGCTATGGAATAGGCTAATTTAAGATAAAATTTAATTTGAAAGTTACTAGACTTAGATCTAGATCTAGAGATATGTGCGTAAATCAAGTTGCATAAGGAGACTCAAAGTATTATTATATAGCACAAAAAAACGCATCAGTGACGTCACGAGTCTAGATAGCTAAAATGTTAGTGTAATAGGCTTTCATGCGGATGGCACGGGTTCTTGACACGTCAATGTTAAAAAAAAATTCATTTTTTTAGATGTGAATGATAAAGTTGCCTATCTGAACTTTGCGGGATACAGGGCAGATGAAGTAGAGTTCATCTGTTTGTTTGTTCTAAACATATGAAGGGATAGTGTGGTCAGAGAAATGCTCGGCCGGAATCGTTTTTTTAAATGATAAAAACATGTTGTCCGAGACACTTTGTAGGTGAAGTAGAGTGAGGTGGGTCACATGTGACGTCAGTATATGAAGGGATAGTGTGGTCAGAACTATACTCATCTGAAATCAGTGTTTTTAAAAGATAAAAAACGTCTTTTTGAATGTGGGGTCTGGTTTTTTGTGACGATAAGTGACTGACGTGATGTTTTTAATGGATGACGGGTAAGTCTAATAGATTCTAAATTCAATGTAAGTGTAATGTACACATTTTAAACCCTTAAGGTTAAAAATGGTAAGTGTAATGTATAGTTACAATAGCAAGTCTTACCAATAAAAAAAATATAATGTTTGTAAAATATTGATTTGCTCCATTGAACTTTTGTTTACAAATCGATATTAAGGTTTAAAATTCTAAATCATCGGATTGAAAGTAAGAGCTAATCGCATTGATTATATCCCCAAAGTTTATGATTTTACATTAATGTCAGAAAATTATATTTATCACATGAACAATGTCTCTATCTCTTTCTGTGTCTCCTTCTGTCACTCTTCCTCACTTTCTCTTTCCCTCACTGTCTCTCTCCAACCCTCTCTCTCTCTCTCTCTGGCATGGTTATGAAGTGCTCAACTGGTCAAGAGTCAAGGGTTTCTCGATACTGTCTTTATGCTTTATGTCCGGGATCTCATTGGATGTTTGAATGTCTGTCTGATTGTCAGTTGTACTATCGGAAGCCACAGATAACACTACGGCAGGGGCACCAGGTGGGATCTATTTGGTTAGAGGGGTGCCAGGTGGGATCTAACCCTAACCCAGGGGCGCCAGGTGGGATCTAACCCTAACCCAGTGGCACCAGGTGGGATCTAACCCTAACCCAGTGGCACCAGGTGGGATCTAACCCTAACCCAGTGGCACCAGGTGGGATCTAACCCTAACCCAGGGGCGCCAGGTGGGATCTAACCCTAACCCAGTGGCACCAGGTGGGATCTAACCCTAACCCAGTGGCACCAGGTGGGATCTAACCCTAACCCAGGGGCGCCAGGTGGGATCTAACCCTAACCATAACCCAGGGGCGCCAGGTGGGATCTAACCCTAACCCAGTGGCGCCAGGTGGGATCTAACCCTAACCATAACACAGGGGCGCCAGGTGGGATCTAACCCTAACCCTAACCCAGGGGCGCCAGGTGGGATCTAACCCTAATCTAGGGGCACCAGGTGGGATCTAACCCTAACCCAGGGGCGCCAGGTGGGATCTAACCCTAACCCAGTGGCACCAGGTGGGATCTAACCCTAACCATAACCCAGGGGCGCCAGGTGGGATCTAACCCTAACCCAGGGGCGCCAGGTGGGATCTAACCCTAACCCAGGGGCACCAGGTGGGATCTAACCCTAACCCTAACCCAGGGGCGACAGGTGGGATCTAATCCAAACCCAGGGCACCAGGTGGTATCTAATCCAAACCCAGGGCACCAGGTGGGATCTAACCCTAACCCAGGGGCGCCAGGTGGGATCTAACCCTAATCTAGGGGCACCAGGTGGGATCTAACCCAGGGGCGCCAGGTGGGATCTAACCCTAGCCCAGGGGCACCAGGTGGGATCTAACTCTAACCCTAACCCAGGGGCGACAGGTTATCTGATAAAGAGATCCCTCGCTTCAAATCATTAACACACTTCCTAACACACACCTTAATACACACCCTAACACACACCCCTAACACACACCATCACACACATCCTCACACACTTCCTAACACACTTCCTAGTACATATCTTAACACACACCCTAACACACACCCTAACACACTTCCTAACACATACCCTAACACACACC